TCTATCTATCTACCTACCTACCTACCTACCTACCTACCTACCTACCTACCTACCTACCTACCTATCCAATGAATAATTGGCTGTGTTTTTAATGTGGCAGGCTTTCTATTTTCAGATGATTCTGTTGTTTTTGTCTCCATATTTTAAGGCTGGGAGAATTTGAGCGAGATTTTGAGCTAGGGCTGACTGCCTTGAGCAGCAGGCTTGCAAACGCAACTAGGCAAGACATTTTGAGGCGAATTCTGTTTTTCTTTTCTTTTTCTGCTTTACATAAGCCAACCGGTTGCGCCAACTCACACCGCACAGCTACCACACTCACCTGCACCATGGGGTCAGACTTGGCAAGGCGCTTTAGGCCCTCCACTAGCTTTGGTAGGTCGGCGGGGTTTTTGGCTTCAACCGCAACGCGCACCACTGGGCTAACGCTAAACTTCATCACTCTCATGTTGTGGGCGTGTTCAAAGGTGCTAATGGTGCCCGTCTTCACCAAAAACTGATCGACACCAACCAGGCCAACAATGTTGCCACAGGGGACATCCTCAATGGGCTCAACGTAACGACCCATCATCAAAATGGTTCTACAAAGACAGAGGATGAGTAACCAGACCTGTTTTATCACCGGAAGTATTTCGTTTGTTTGAAATCAAACCTTTTACAAAGAATGTATTCTCTTATCATTGCCTTCTTTTCTTCTTGTCTTTTCTTTCTTTTAAATCACATGATGAAAGCTGCCTAAACAAATTGGCGTAGGGAAAAAGTCTTCTGGGAATGCAAAATAGCATCTTCTTTCTAGCAGCCTTCCATTCCCTCTCCCAGAGGTCCATTTTCAAGAGGCAACTGGATTTTCTTTTTTTTTCCCCTTGAAGACCTTTCGCTTCTCATCCAAGGAGCTTCTTCGGTTCTGACTGGATGGTGAGGGAAATGGAAGGATTCAGTCAGAACTAAAAAGAAGTTTCTTGGATGAGAAGCGAAACATCTCCGAGGAAAAACAAAGAGAGCCCGGTTGCCTCTTGAGAAATCACCCGTGACAACTAGGACCTGGATGATGGAGAACCTCCAAAGACGCTTCTCCATTCTCTACACTTCCAAAATACAAAACTTACTTAGCTCCTGCAGAGTTAGAAATTGTCACACAAGCAGAAGAGTGTTGCCCTCCCAAATCACACCAGTGACGTTTCTACGCTCAAACACATCCCTGTCTTCGCGCAGTGATCTAAGAGTCTTCCAGCTTCCTAGGGGTTCTCCTTAACATGAAGCCGTGGTGGCACAATGGATGCAGTACTGCAGGCTGACTCTGCCCACTGCCAGGAGTTCGATCCTGACCAGCTCAAGATTGACTCAGCCTTCCATCCTTCCAAGGTGGGTAAAATGAGGACCCAGATTGTTGGGGGCAAGAGGCTGACTCTGTAAATTGCTTGCAGAGGGCTGTCAAGCACTTTGAAGCGGTACATAAGTGTGGTTGCTATTGCTATTATTCTGCCCTATCAGAGCTGCCACGGAGAGCTTTAAGCATACATGTCTACCAGGGATGGTGTCTATTGTGAATGGGGGAAGAGGGGCAGAACTCATCCCCACTGCTTGGAGAGTGCCTTGCAGCCCTTTTTGTCCTGGCAAACAGGGTGCTGGATTTCGTTCGCGTGCACCGTTTAGAAGAGGAGGGAAACCCTCATTAGCTACCTCTGAATAGGCTTCAAGTAGAGGTCTTCCTTCTTTCCAGGGGTATAGTTGGGTCCCATAATCCGCACCTTCTGGCCGGTGGAAACTATGCCCGAGAAGACCCTCCCGAAGGCATAGAAGCGGCCTTTGTCTGACGTGGGTACCATTTTTGAGATGTACATCATCAGAGGGCCCTTTGGGTCACAGTTTTTAACCCCTGCAGCAAAACAAAAAGAGCACATTGTGAGGTCCAGGCCATTCCCTAAATTGAGTCAAAATTGGCTGTGGGACCTTCCAACTGACATACATAAAGTCCTCGACTTACAACAATTTGTTTAATGATCAAAGTTACAGTAGCCCTGAAAAAAAGTGACTTAAAACCATTTTTCACAGTTGTTCCAGCATCCCCATGTCATGTGATCAAAATCCGGACTCTTGGCAACTGGCTCATATTTGTGACGGTTGCAGTGGCCCCGGTATCATGTGATCGCCTTTTGCGACTTTCTGACAACAAAGTCAATGGGGAAGCCAGATTCGTTTAACAACTGCGTTCCTAACTTAACAACTGCAGGGATTCGCTTAAAGAATTGTGGAAAGAATGTAAAATGGAGCAAAGCTCATTTAGCCACTGTCTGGCTTAGCAACAAATCCTTCAAGGTCGTCCAGATCAGGAAACTGTCATTGCAAGGATTCCAGGAGTGCTAATTTATTCTTGTTGTTTTTTAAACAATTTTTATTTGTTTTTGAACAAGGACAAACATAAAAAAAAAAAATCTTCCATTACAAATTGTAGAAAGTGTGTCAGTTGG